CCATTCAAATAATTTTTAAAAGCCATTTAAATATATTTTTTTAATTTTTAAAATTGGGCCATAAATAAAAGTTTTACATTTACATCATTTTTTTTAATATACCCACAAGAAGTTTTAAAGGATCTTATTCCTGGTGTCTAATTTAGCATTCATTATTGTGTTAAACTAATTTTATTTGTTTCAAAATTAAACAACTTTTTCTAGGTTTGTCGTAAAATTATCACAACATAGACGAAGAAACCAACCACGGAAGCAGTAAAAAATCTTTATAAAAAATGTATTTCTGGAGTACTGAGAAACAAAAAATACTTGCAATTCGGAGTGGTAGTGATAAACTCTTTGGACAACAATAAAACAAAGTATTAGATTTTTTCCTGAAAACCAAGGTTTTTGGGATAAAAAATATTAACCGATTTTTGCTGCTTAACATTAGAAGAAATTTACGCTATATTCAGTATAAAAAAGAAGTAATCTGTGTCATTTTTGGTTATTTTTGGATTTACTTATGCAAAAATTGTGGAATAGTTACAGATACAGGGTGCGTCAGAACTCACGCCTCAGAGAAAAATTTCATGTAAGATAAAATACAAAAAATTTTGAAAAAAATCTATTTATAAATATTTCGAAGTTATGCCACCATTTTAATGAGTCAAAAAAAGCTGAAATTCAACTTTCGGGTTTTATCAAAGTTTACAAAATTCTATCTGAATTATGTTTACTATAAAGTATTTTTATTATTCCAAAAGGTATAATAAAACAAAATAAACTAAAACATTTCAGTATTACTTTGAAAATCTGGAATCACGTGAATACTAGTTTGAATTTGGAAAATTCAAGTGCTGAATGTTTTTTCTCAATTTGAGGATCCTTGCCCCTCAAGTTTATATTTTTAATTGTGTTAAAGTTTAATTAAACAATGCTGATTATTCTGCGACAAAATATTGTTTATAACACATATCTTTCCCTTGTTAATGCCATTTTGCAAATAACGTGTAAGAAACCAATTAAAATTGCTTTATTACTAGCAAAATATAGCAATAATAAAAATTTATTACTTTAAGTATTTGGTTAAAAAATGCAAAAAAATCAATTTTTTTTAAATAGTAAATGTAAAAAATCTTGGCAATTTTGTAATTCTGCAAGTAATGATTTATAAGCAGTCTAGAATAAATAAAATTTGTGATTATCCAAAAAAAGTAAGAAAAGAAATCTAGAATTTTGTTCCTCTTAACAACAAACCTTGACTTTGAACTATATTACAAAAATCATCTGACTTATTAGATAATAGTTAAGACCCTACGATAAATAGAAATTGAGGAAAATTCCAAAAAGATGACTAATATCTAATGGTATCCGGAAAACATGTGCAAAAATGATAGTCTCATTTTTTGCTATTGATTGTGAAATATGTTTTATGTAATCAGCAATCTGTAGCATTTTGTCACAAAATTTTGGTTTATTAAAATTATAAAAAATTATGCAATGAACAAAAAAATTCAAATCCGGAAATGCATATATTATTTTTAAATAATCACTAATTCGTATATTTAGTTTAAATTTAGTTTATTACATAATTATAAAAATTAAATATTAAAAATAGTGCTTGAACTTTTTCTTCCATTTCATATACAGAGTGCGCCAAACTCAATTATTTAGTAATGGTACAAAAATTTTCCTAATAAAAGCCACAAATAACATTAAACATTAATTTGGGATACTGCTTCCTTGTTTCTTCTTCTAATAGCCTGTAGCAAAAAAACTTGGAAAATTATTTTCCCAACAGAAATAAATAGAGTCAAAGTGCAAAATTTAAACTCTCATAACCGTGGTTCTGGTATCTTACTTTATATGGCATTTTTCTCTGGGGCGCGAGTTCTGGCGCACCCTATATAATAAATATTTAAAAAGTTTGACGTCCTGTTTTGTCCACTTCAGTGTTAATTTAAAAAGATAACCAGAGAGAGTGGAAACAACTTGAAATAAATATTACAGCAACTTTTCAAGTCGTAACCAGGAAAAAAAAGGATATTGTTGGGTATTATTAATAGGTCGTGGTGTACAGCGCGGAATAGGTACTAAGTATTGATCTTCTCCATTTATTTTCGAGAAGGCAATGATATTTATCCGCTTTAATTTTGATCAAATCACTCGCAAAATCTAAATTATTTCATGCAAGAGTGGACATCACTGGATCAATAACAGTCAAAAATCTCACATTAAACCACGCCTGTCCTATCTTTAGCGGGTTTATGGGCGTAACAACTCATTCCGAAAGATCGATGATGACAATGATGACAAACTTGAATCTTTTTTTGCGTGAAAAAAAAATTTTTACTGACCTTTTCTCTCACTTGTGTCTTTTTCATTTTCTTTTTGTTCCCTATTCTCTTCTTCTGGTGGCACAGTCTCTTTGCTAGTGTTGCAACCCATTTTCTAATTTCCCAAATTTTCCATCAACTTTGTTTTGTTATGGTGTGAGACATCGCACTGGTGTGACTGAAATTACAGGACCAAATTGATTTTTCTATTAGCGTATAGGTAAATAATTGGGCAATTATAAGCAATTTGTTGAAGGACAATTCAAGCGTGAAAATTTACTTACTTTAATTATTTTTATTATTTTTTGGTAACAAAAAATGGTCAAAAATTAGTGCCAAATTTCATGGTAATGAAACTAATGAAATAACTGAACCAACCCTTGTTGCATGAGTATAACATGCACAAACAAGGGTGGTTACTACCCTTTCAAAATTTCCCCTGAGCTTGCGCTTTTTCCAATGACTCATCGTCATTTTATGAAAACACATTTTTTCTTGTTTATCTCCGATAAACCATGAAAGAGGGTTTTGAATTAATATACAACGCACAAAATGGCGCTGGGGTGCCAAATGGCGGATTATTTCCGAAAAATCCTAGTTATTTTATTTTTTCTAGATTGGCTACCACGATTATGCGTCAAGTTTGACAGTTTAATAAATAAAACGCACAAAATGGTGCTAGATAGAGGACATTTTCGAATACTCCTAGTTATTTTATCTTCTCTATATTGGCAGCATTAGACGTCAAGTTTGACAGCGGTGTTAACCCAACATTTGCAATTCCATAAAGTGTGACAAAAATGAATAATTATGACTTGATTGTGGTACAAAATGACTAGTTTCCCTCCCCTGAACACAAACTAAATGAAAAATACAGCTGACAAATTTCCTAACCTCCAAAATGAGTAAGCAAAAAGACCTCCAATTTCTGGTGTATTTGGCCAAAATTGCGTACCCCAGACACAATTCTCACTGTTTTATTATTTACATGATTGTAAACTACTGTGATATTTTGAAACAACAACAAATATTTACATTACGAGGAGTTAGCCCCGAATTTTTGACCAATTTCGTCCGGGAGACTCTTTGGGACATTGATAACACGATAGTTGTGAATGATAACGTGGAACGGAGTTGTCTTAAGTACATTGTTGTTAATAACACTTCGAGGAAAGTTAACGTAATTACGAAAAAATTTGATAACAAAAGTGTGGCCTTGTTGAGTTACAATTTGTTGTACAATTTGAAGGGGGCTATAACTGGCAGTTTTAAAAAATGTGGGTGTGAAAATCTCCAATTTGCGGATGAGGTCGAGTTGTCTTTGGTCAATTCGGCGTGTGATTGGAGCCACTTTGTTATAGATTCTTGTTTAAAGAATTTTTTTGATGTGCCAAAATTATTATACGAGGGAGATTTGATAAGTATAGACTTGAAAAAACACGGAAAAGAGGTGTTTTACCAAACAAATAAAATTACAAATATCAATGAGAAGTTACACTTTAAATGTAATAAAATAATTTATTTGGGGGACAACGTAGAAGGGGGTTATTTGTGTTCGAAGAAAACTACCCTAAAACAGGCTACAAATATTCAGAGTTTTATTCCAAATGAGAATCTAGATTTAGAAAAAACACTCCCAAGTGCCTTTGATACGTATTTTGGGGATCTTAGAAAAGCTGTTCTTCCATTTATCAAGAAAAGTATTAATTTCTGGGGCTTTTAATTTAACAATAATCTCGTGATTTTTTTTTTCAGATAAAAGTAATTTTTTACCAGTTTTTCTTCTCGAAGGGCGACGAGGGAGCGGGAAAAGTTTGTTAATCAAATGTTTGGCTTCCACACTAGGCATGCATTTGTCCACAATTAGTAATTTTGACGTTACTGCAACTACTTACGCCCAAAATGAGACGAAACTGCGGAATAGTTTTTTTGCTGCGAAAATGGCCGCCCCCTCCATCTTGCAAATAAGGAATTTTGAGGTGAGATAATGGCACTGTTTACTCAACAATATCACTTGTTTTCTTCAAATGAATGTTTTAATCTTGAAAGAATTTCGCTTTTTGTTTTTTAATTGCGACGGTTGTGGCTTATCGAAAGAAAATAAATAAAAATAAATTGTGCTAAGTTTTTACAAGGAATTTTTATAAAGTCGCATTTGATCTTGGAATTTTCGTGTTGCGTTCTAAATATATCTTTGGTTTATCGGGGGGCGAGGACGAATTCCTCGTGTTTTTCGCCAAAAGGCAAGGATTTGGAATTTATTAAATGTAGAAAATGTACTGATACAGTGATAACTTTTTTATACACTACTGAAAAAATTAAGAGAACAAAAAAAATTCCTATTTTTTAATTAATGGTCGTATTTAAATAAAAAAAAACATTTTGAAGCTTCAAGTTCCTAGTTATGACTTTGAAAAAAATTTTCTGAACTACGCTTATTACGCAGACCTAAGAAATAGTGCGAGAAAAAAAGTTACTTTTTTTAATCAATGTTAAAAGTGAAAAAGATACTTTTCCATTAAAAGTCAGATATCTCAGTTACAAATTGACGTAAAGAGAATATAAAAAAGCAATTAAAGCTGAATAAATAAACTATCCGGCCCATGTATTGATTTAACTAAAAAAAATTCCGTGGGCCAAAACAAAAAAAATATAAAAAAATTCTCGGGTTATTTCCCAGGATAGCGTGATAACCGTAGCTCAGAAAAATTTTTTACCAAAGAATTTCAAGACTGGAAACTTGAAGCTTCAAAAAGTTTTTTTTTAATCTAAATACGACCATTTTTCAAAGAGTTACAGCCTTTCAAAAATCACCAAAAAGTGTAATAAACCCTTTTGTTTCAAAATTCTTTATTTGATAGATTTTGCATCAATTAATTCTTACAGTGTAGAGAAATTTTTTTTGGTGAATAACAAAACAAGTAAAAACAATGAAACTAAAATAAAATTTTGAATTATTAAAAAAAAATAATATGTAGGGTTCTCAGAAAAATCAACTTTTGCTAACAAGGAAGAAAAGTGTATCTTTTTCTCCCACAGAGCCCGAGATTTGTCGAGGCAACAAATTTTTTCTCTGTGAAAGATTACATAAAACATATTTCTATTGTAATTTTGACAGATGAGGGAGGTAAAATTTTTCCTCCTAAAGAGATAATTTTCCACTTTCTTCTCTGAAATTAGAATGAAAAATCTTACTTTCTGTCAGGATCGTAGCACAAACACTAGTTACATACACATTTCAGTGCATTTTTATATCAAAAATATGGAAACTTGGTTTACCTACTTTCGACATAGAAAAAACTAGTTTTTAAATACAATTTCTAAAAAATTCAAACATTTTTCTTTCGTTATTTCTGAAACACTATTTCGTAGCTTTAATTTATGCACATTTATATTTCCAGTTACAACAATTAGGATATAAAATTTTACATTTAGTTTATTAAATATCATCGTTTTGTCTACTTGTGTAATATAATTTTAGAAGATTTAATTTCTGTTTCCTTAATTTCCAAGTTTTTGTTTATGTTTTTTAAATAGGTGTTATTTATATGTATTGTCATATTATAAAATAACAATTTTATGTATTTTATGGTCCTAAACATAAAGAATTCTTTTGTGTTTTGCCTTACTTGAATTTTCGCTTATAGATTTTTAGTATTTAGTAATTTTTTTTTCAAAATTACGTTAGCAATTATTGATATTTTTTGTTCAACAAATAAGTTTGCCATCCTCTGCGCTGCCGTACTTGTAAATAACTGTCAACTTTATTAACAATAAATCGATTCATCACAATAAAACCTTAATGACTTTTTTACTCTTTAATCAAAAAAAGTAATAAAAACGGATCATTTTGTGAATTGCAGAATTTTGGGAAAAACAACGAAGGACAGTACGACGAACGATTGATTAGTTATTTTATAAATGAAGTTAAAACTCTCTTTGAAAGCAACTCATTTCCGTTGATTTTAATCTGCTGCAGCAGCGATAAAAATATACCAATAGAACTCAGACGAACTTTTCTGAAAACTTTCGAAATAAAAGCACCAAACGACCAAGAAAGAGAAAAAATATTAAACTGGATTTTAGAGAGTAAAAACATTACGAGTGGAATTAACATGAGCCAAATTGCCAACAAAACTCACGGATTTTTATTTGAGGATTTGCGAACATTGATTCATTATGCTGAAACAGAAAATAATTTAGAAGAAAAATTCATACCTCGAGATAATTTTCTCCGTGCTTTGGGTAACTCGCTTGTTTTAATTACAAGAAAACAGTTTTGATTTTTCAGACTTGATGCAATCAAATTATAGTGAGAGTTTAGGGGCACCAAGAGTGCCCCAAGTCAAGTGGTCGGACGTTGGCGGTTTAACGGAAGTGAAACAAGAAATAATTAAAACTATAAAATTGCCCCTTAGACATCCCGGACTTTTGAAATCGACCGGATTGAAAAGATCCGGTGAGAGATTTTGTGCTATTTTTCTGATCAGTGTAAAATGATAAATGATCAGTATTTAATTAATTTTTGCACAGTGAAAAATTAAAAATGGTCAGTATAATACAGGTTGGTCCAAAAGTCTGGTTTTGGCAAATAAATTTATAGGTGTGCAATGGCTATGCTATTCAAAAAAAAATTGATTAATAATTAATTGTTTACACTTACAAGATAAACATAGTAACAATTTTTTTTTAATGGAAACCTACCACAAGTTTTTTTAGACAACGAACTTGTTATAAGAATTGTTGCTGTGCAATTTTTTTGTAAACCTCACACTTTTTTGTTAAAAAAATGTTTGACTTTTTTTTGTAAAAAATTAATAAATGTTTAAAGGTTGTAAAGGAGCGTTGCCAAAATATTTTTTATTTTGATTAATTGTTTAAACTTTTGAGATATTTTTTTTCTTAAATAGAAACGGTTTTTTATTTATTGTTACAAAGAACCAACCAGCCCTTGGCCGGTGGAAGAAAGTTTTGACAACAGATAAAGTTTATAATTTTTTTGACGTAAATTGTAACATTTTTAATAAATATTTTTGTACTTTTATAAAATGCATAAACATATTTTTGTAAATAAAAATAAAATAATAACAATAATGCGGTTATGTTAGCTTAGATTTTCGCGTAAAACAAATTTTTATGAAAATTTTGATGATGGGGCATTTATTATGAATAGTATGATAGTTCTAGTAACTTAGTTTAGTTCAATCTAGAAATAGTTGATGTTTTTTGCAATTAAATTGATACGTAACCATATGGTTGCACTGCCTCTAAAGTACTTATTTTTTAAACAGATTATGAACTTTTTTTTCATCAAGACGAGGTGTTTTTATAGAAAAAAAACAAACATGCCTGAAAAGCGGGATAAATTTCGTCTACGTCTTGAAAAAATATCTCATTCAGACTTATCTGATTATTCCGAAAGTGAGACAGCCGAAAACGACCAAAATTTTATTTTTGCTAGTTTTGGTTTCATAAATTGATTAAAAAAATAATTGTTCTTATACCACCACCCACGTAAAAAGGAAAACTCAAAATACCTGCAACAGCCAAAAATACAAAACAAAAATTCAATTTTAATTTTAATTGGACAAAGAATGACATAACAAAAAAGGAAGACAGAGAAGAATTCCAACCAATAATAATATATTTTTTTTGAATAAACCTTAAATTTGTAACATTTCTTAAATAGGCAAAGTGATCATATGGTTATATTATCAAAGTACGTTTTCTAATAATACCTAAAATGCGATTCTAATGTTACTTGAATAATTCTTACAAACTGTCATAATTTTCTTTTTATTTAAATTTATTAATTTATTTCCAAATAAAACTGGAAGTTTACTCAAAAAAAATTCTTTAATTTTTGTAAGTCAAACATTTTTTTATCAAAAAAGTGTAAGGTTTACAAAAAAGTTTTGCACAGCAAGAATTCTTGTAACAAGCTCGTTATCTAAAAAAAATTGACTAGGCTTCCATTTGAAAAAAATAATTACTATAATTAATTAATAATCAAATTTTTTTTGAATAGCATTTCTATAGTCATTAAAGCCTATGAATTTATTTTCAAAAAAAATGATAGTTTCGCCAGAATAAAATCATTTCCTGACTTTTGGACTACCCTGTATAATGTTTTGCAGCGTATAAATAATAAACGCTCAGTAATTTTAATCAGAATTTGTAATACAACATAAAATTTAAAGAATTTTCAGTTTTGGTTACATAACAATTTTGCCCCTGCGCAAAAATTATTATTGGTACTTATTTTTATATTATTATTTTTACATTTATTTATATTTACACCTGAAAAAGGCAAAAATAGCAACATTTTTGACCTCTTGTTGAAATTTTTTGCTTGTTTTTATCGAAATTTTGTCTTAAAAAAAATTGTGATTTTTGGCTCGGTATATGGCAAAATCTCGGGAAAAAACGGTATTTTCATGTAAAAATCTGCTTAAACTCTCGAAAAAGGCAAAAGTGACATTATGTTCAGCCTAATTTTGTGTTTTTTAGGCTTGTTTTGAACAAAATTTGCGAAATAATTGCGTTTTTAGCTCGAGAAATGCAAAAATAATATAATTTTCGACTTCATTTGTTGATTTTTTGGTTTGTTTTCGACTAAATTTTGTGGTTTTTCTGCTTATTTTTGTCTTAATTTATATCAAAGACCACTTAATTTCAGTAAAACTAGGAAAATAACATCAATATCAATTCTTTTTGTGATTCTTAGGCGTGTTTAGACAAGATTTTACAAAATAAATGAGCCTCTGGTTTAAAAACGAAGTAAGTCGAGTGAAACAAACAAAAAAAAACGAACCAATGTCGATTTAATTTTGTAATTTCTCTAGCTTGTTTAAACTAAATTTTTCGAAATTTTTTTGTTTTTATATCAAAAACGTGCTTAAATGTTTGAATAAGGCGAAAATAACGACATCTTTGGCCTATTTTGTTGTTTGTTTTTGAACGCTTCGCGATTTATTATTTTTTATTTGCATTTATTATTATTGTTACTGGGCATTTAATATTTTTACTATATATTTATTATTATTGGAGAGTGGTGCCCCTGCGCAAGAATGATTTTAGCAAGGACTGGAAACTGCGCACAAATGGTAATCAGTATAATCAGCATACGCGTAGACATTCATTCATTGTCTTTACTGTGCATTTATTATTTTTACTGATCAAAAAACTTAATTAGGGATTTTGCTCTACGGCCCTCCGGGCACCGGAAAAACCCTCATGGCGAAAGCGGTCGCCACCGAATGTGGTTTGTGTTTTTTGTCAGTCAAAGGCCCCGAATTGTTGAATATGTATGTGGGCCAATCGGAACAAAACGTGCGAGAGGGTATTATTTTTATTACTAATTTTATCCCCAACTCCGGAAATTTTTTCTAGTGTTTGAAAAAGCGCGTGACGCCTCCCCTTGCATAATATTTTTCGACGAATTGGACTCGCTGGCCCCCAATAGGGGCGCTTCCGGTGACTCCGGCGGCGTGATGGACAGGGTGGTTTCCCAACTTCTGGCGGAAATGGATGGTTTGAATCAAACCGGCACTGTTTTTATCATAGGTTGGCAGCAGTTATTAATTACACAAGGCGAAAAGAAAAAGTCATGTCGTGACAAACTTGACAAATTTTATATCATTTTGTTCGTCTCAGTGAGACAAATCAAATGCACTAAAAAAAATTTCAAAAAGTCCACATACTTTGAACTATTTTTTTTTCTAATTTAAATAAATTTAAAATACTTTAATTTTAAAAAATCATTACTCAATAACTATTATGCCGATTTCCTTCAAATAAAGACCATTCTAAAGGGATGGCCTTGCCCTTTAGAATGATATAAAATTTGAGATTGAATATTGGCAAACTTTTCTTCGAACAGTGTTCGAAGAAGTTCGAAGTAAATCGAAATAATCTAAGAAAAACCTTACGAGTAATTTTTTTTTCATCATTACCATCGTGTAGAGCATCTCTTTATTACTTATAATCCTATTTTTCAAAAAAATATACCGAGTGGTTTTCAAGATATGATTTTTTGAAGTTAAGATTTGCTAATCAAGCATTGTTCCATATAAGAGAAATGCATGTTAATCTTACTTAAAATTGCATTTTTATAAAAGTATTTGTTTTAAGACTCTTCTTTTGCTTAAAAATGGTCAATTGCACCTTCTTTGTTCTAATTAGAATAAACAAAAACTGTTTCTTTA